TTTCAATTATAAAACCTGTTTTATTATCAGATAAAATAACTTGGGTTTTCATTCGTACAGTCGATGGCCTCGTCGTCATAATTCAAAGTACCAAATGTTGCATATTATTGAATATTGGTAATTCCCAGTTACATTTAACATTAACCATTTCTCTGACTGTAAAAAAAGAGGAAATAATATATTATTGGTACTATATAAATTGTATTTAAAACTTTAAAAATACGGTAACGACGTCGTGATTTGCGAGTTTTATTAGATTGATAAACGCCAAGGTTGGCTTTAGGTACTACTTAGTGTTCCAAGTTCCCAACACCGGAGGGCGTACAAAGGTTCCGTCAATGGTCAATCTTTGCATAAAATGCGCGGATTGAAATTATTCTGCCAACGACACCACTGTGAAAGTATTTTATTCAAACACCGTTGGTGAAACAAGTGAAAAATCTGTGTATGACGGCCGATGCATACCTGTCCCATTGCCTGTCGGCCACCCCTGGGCCCTCTATTGTGAATGAGGATGACTACCCGCAATGGCGGACATCAGTTGCAGTGTTTGCATCGGCAAGAAAACCCTGACTAAAATGCGATCATATGGTAGATTTTATGCATTTTACCAGATTTCGAAACCCCCAGTAGGCCTACTGTGTAACATCGGTAAATCGGGCGAAAAGGAAAACAGACGAACCGGTAATTGGGCGAACTGGTAATCAGGCGAAGGAGTTCGGGCGAAGTGGATTTCGGGCGAAGTGACTGTATCCCCCCGTTTTCGGACTTCGTCCGAACGGGGACTAAACATCTGATAGGCAAAGAGAATTATTGTACTGGAAAATTGTTATAGCTCCCTCTAGTGGCGGTGAAAATGATATTTCGTTCTGGCATGGAAGGAGTATCTTCCATGAATCTGAAGAGTACAAGTAGATTAAATACGATGCCAGAATAAATAACCTTGATTTATAATTTGTGATGGTATTTGAAAGATATTACGTAGTTACCAAAACTACATCGAGTATTCCGCTGGGTCAACCTTCTCTAACGTTGTAGTACGAGACCGAGTATCCTCGGGGGCGGAGCTACGTCACGGACGTTCTACGTTGCTAAGACGCGCACCATTGTACCACGTATTTCTATGAGCTTTGTGCGCGCTGCTGTGGAACGCCGGTGGAGCCGGTGAAAACTCGAGAAAACAACACAAACTCAACTTTGAAGTAATCCCGAACAACCAAATTCATATATGTTACACATGTAGGGCTAATCTTGTTACACTGTTCAGGGGACTCTCAACAACCATCCCAAAGTACCGTTTTCTGCGAGTTGTTGGTCTTTGTTTTCACCGCGAGGGTTGCCAGGCGGTAGAAAATGCCCGGATGTCCGTCCCAGAGGATTCCCAGGACTACGACCCTGATAGGCGACGCCGATACTACCAACGAGTCGTTAATGTGACGCGTGCCCGGGACGAATGTTGCAAACGAAATGGGTTCTATCGCTAATTAGTGCATCAACTGATTTTGAATATGCTTTCACTTTTTTCATGATCGTGTTTTGTCGCCTCTAGGTGGCCGGCAGTATATACTGAATGAAAATGACGACCACAACCAAGGCGGCTATACGAGCCAAAGCTATGATCCAGCACACAGTCCCTCAAGGTGTTGAGGGGCTGTGGATACAGATATGATAACCTTTAAACCCCCTACCTGTATCATTCACGTGTTCGCCTGAGACGGGGAAATATAGTCTGGTTCCCTGCCCCATTTCAACGCTGAGGGCGGTTTTAGAAAAGGGTCAGGTACGGGGTATTACATCCAAGGCGGTTATTGGTAGTTACGTACGGAACATCTGATTCGTCACTGAGACAATTCAACATGGCGGCTTCCATGGACATGGAGTTTGTTATGAAAACAAAGATTGCTTTAGCACATGTAAACGCAAACAGTCATTCATGTTACACATATTTAAGACCAAAGCAAGTTGATTGTTTGAAGGCATCCACTGATAGTGATTGTATAGGCTTGTTGCCTACCGGTTATGGAAAATCACTGATTTTTGAGTGCCTTCCCTACATGTCAGCTTCACACAGTCCCAGGACAGTGATCTTGATCTCGCCATTGAATGCTATTATAGAAGAACAGTCTCGTAGACTCGGCGCAAGGTCAGTGCGGTTAAATCCGGAGTTTGACTGTAGTTTGTCCAGTTTCATTAGTTGTGAGTATTTGTATATACTGTCTCACCCAGAACACATAATGACCAAGAAACTCTTCGCCGTATTTCGTGGCGACATTTGGCAACA